GGAACTGAATATGCATATTTTGAAGGAAAGAGACCATTGCTGTATCAATAATAGTGAGGAGTAACAATGGAAGGAAAAGAGACAAGTTATCAACTGTGGTTAAAAGTATAGTAAAGAATAATGGGTTTCATCAGAATACTGGAAACTTCTCAGATATGAGGGTCCAACTTCCTAACAACGGGGGGGAGTAGGGAGAGGTTTGTAGACAGATGTCCCTCTCTCGGTGTTCAGAGCCAAGAAGATGAAAAATGAAAAGGTTTAGTACAGAGAACAGTATCCCTTCACCAGGGGCTTTGTATGGTCTTAGTGGTTTGCCTTTTCAGCTCTAAGATCTACAATTCTATTTTTCTTTGTATATTTTCTGTCGACTCATTTTGAGTTCTTTATTTCTTCCCTCCCCTTGTCCTCCTGTGCCTGTAGTTTCCCCCTTTTAAAATTTTATCTTGTGAGTCCAGTTTGCTTTTCTTTTTGTGCTGATCCTTTTGGTTTATTGAATGCATGTTCATGCTTTTCCTTCTTATGTTTTTCCTTCCAACTCTTTTTTGCTGGCATGGATTCTAGGCAATTTGAACACAATAACTACCTTTTAAAAGAAATCTTTCCTTTACTCACTTTCTTAGCCAAGTTGCCTATTGCAGCTCTTTGCAAAGCTCATGACTAACAACAATAGGTCAGGCATATTGTCTTTGCACATAAAGGATGTCTTGTTTTGTTTTTTATATGTGGGCACATTTATTCTGGGACTGTGAGGCAAAACAAAATAAAACTGATTTCTAAAACAAACACCAGCATTTACTTACAAAAACAAAACCAACAAAAACCCAAACGATCTCTCCCAATAGTCTCTTTATCAGCCGTGGGCAAACTACGTCCCGCGGGCCGGATTCGGCCCGTTTGAAATGAATAAAACTAAAAAAAAAAAAAGACCGTACCCTTTTATGTAATGATGTTTACTTTGAATTTATATTAGTTCACACAAACATTCCATCCATGCTTTTGTTCCGGCCCTCCGGTCCAGTTTAAGAACCCATTGTGGCCCTCGAGTCAAAAAGTTTGCCCACCCCTGCTGTAGAGACAGATCTATGCCAACGTCTGGGGTCTTTGAGAAAGAAGCCCAGCAGGACAGGCTGATGGCGTCTCTGGGACCCTGTATCCCGCTGGGCTGTGGTCCACACTCAGGCTCTCCAGTCAAGTCAAACAACCTGGTTTCTTTTTGTGTGACGAAGTTTGTGTTGGGTTTCTGTGACTTGCAACCAAAGAAGTCAGTCCTAAATCATACAGTATTTCGTTTAAAATAATCACATGAACCCCTTCCTTTCCTTAACATCTGGGGTTGTAACATGTTCTTATTTACATCCCTACAATGTAAAGGACATATATGTGTTTAAGACACAGCTAGTCTAGAAGCTCATGTCAAACAATTCTTTATTTTTTTATGGTACAAATTAAAAGTGACAGATCTGAAGCTGTTAAGAAATACACAAAGTGCAGCTTTACTGACCATACAGATATTGCTCTAGATTAAGTACAGTTTTGTCAGTTTTTTTTTTTTTTAACGTTAAGCAACCTGTGCAGATAAATCAGCTTTGGTTTCAATGTTAGAGCAAATAAGGAGCTTTTAAATATCCAGTTTGGCTTCTTGGTCACAAGTCCATCGTGTCAACTTCTCATCATGACGATTTTTCAAAACAACCCAGTCTGTTTTCCTGTCCTCCAGCCTCTGCCTGCTCCAGGCAGCGGAGGCGGCGCCTTCGTGGTGCCTCGTCAGGGACCCTGGTGACCAGTCTAGATCACAGCACGCAGGACAAAAAAAATCACTCTCTTAACAACAATTAAGCAGATGTGCCTCACGTACTTTCAAGTTGAAGACAAACAAGTCACATGACAAAAAAGCTCATTACAAAATGTTATCCAAACAGATTTTACAATCAAACATTTAAATGAAAATCAATTTCCTTTTCTCCATTTGTTTAAGCGTGGTCATTAACTGGTACAAGTAGAGTGCTGAGGTAAAACATTGATGAACAGTTTGTACTTTTTTTTTCTTTTCTTAAAATAGGAACAGTTTAGTATTGCGAGATTGTCAGCAACATTTAGCCATATCTATACAATGTGCATATACCTACAAATATTGAGCTTTGGTCCAGCATAGAGAAGATGAGCAAAGGCATTTCGCAATTTCTTTTTGGTTATAGCTTGAGTTCTTTGATACGCCTCTACTTGTTTGTTTGTTTTTTTCCTAGCTCCTTTTGCCTTTTTGTTTTCTCTTTTGGTGTGTGTGTGTTTGTGTGTGCGCGCGCACACACACACTTGAATGTGTATTTATGTGGTTACAATCGTGAAACCAAAACCTTACAATGCAATTAAAACTCTCAGCTGTTCAAAATGTTTTCTGGTTGAAAAAAACTCCCACAAAACAAGTGTAAACTATAACACCAGTTTTCCTCTTTTTCATCAAACAATAGAGAAAATGAAGATGATAATAATTTAAAAATATGTAAGAAAAATATTGAAGCGTGAAATACAATCACCTATGCCCAAAGTGGCTTTTATTTTTTGTTAGTGGCAACCTTTACCTTCAGGTCATGAAAACATATAAAACACTTAAATGCTATTGGCCTATGAAGTTGTTTACAAGTGAAAATAAGAAATGTCTTAATAAAATTAAGCAATAGGTGTGGTTCAGAAGACTTGTGTACACAATATAATTGATATTCTTAAGAATCTGTTCAGGCACCTTTTTATGCCTTGTAGCAAAAAATTTATCTGTAAAAAATCAATATAAGAAGCATTACAACACCTTATAAATAATTTATAAAACAATACAAAATTATAAAACTATAAAAAAATGAATGGGTTTACGACTGTGGGATAAATATATTTCTTTTATATTCCATTCTGGAAGACTACTTTTATTTTATATCTTCACTGTCCTTGTGGTACCCTCCCAATTACAGATCTTGAAACTGAGCAGGCCTTATGTCACTGCTGCTAGCACGTGTTTAAACACTGAGCATTCATCATCTGTTATGTTATCTTGTTCAGTTTTCTTCGGGAGCTTTTCTTGGTGGAATGTGGAGCAGGTCTTGGAGAAGACATAATCTGTTTAATCCATACACTTTTGGATTTCTGGGTTGTTGGTGTTTGTGCAGTTTTGGAGGTGGCGAAACGGGTACCATGATGTGATTACCACTGAAGATCAGGTCAGCTGTGGTCCAATTCGTATCAGACTGGCAAAATGGAAACACCTTTGCAAGGGACCGCTTCCACCTCCAGGCTTTTTCTTTTTAAAGTTTCCTTGCTGGTGATGTCCTGATTGCTGCATGAATCACCCGGGGGAAGGGGGACAATTAAACCATTGCATTTACCCAACCAGCAAAGGGGCTACCAGAAGAGACGCAAACCCTCCTCAGGGAGGGAACATGGCATTTCTCATCAGTTGGGCAACTTGAGGTGGGCTTTCTCTTTTTCCTTTTACAATTTACTTGTAGGGAGTGCATGGGCATGCTTATTAACGAATTATTCAGGAATATTTACATTTTAACAGCAGGCATATTGATGGTTTCCTTTTCCCTGCTCCTTCAACGCAACACCTGTTGCCTGTACCTGTAGAGAATACCAACCACAGGTTTCAAGTGCTCACGTGCACAGCCATCCTCCCATCTTGCTTTTCCCTCTGGCTTGTTAGGTTATTTTGGCCCACAGATCTTTTGAGTAACTTATTTTGAAAAATGAAATAATCCCTAAGTTTTGATAGTGAAGGCTATTCTGATGTGGTCGATAAGCCACTCTGTATTTTTCCTTTGAGAGGAGGCACTTCATTGTTAAAACTTCTTTTCCCCTCAAGAACCCAGAGCCCAATTCCAATGGTTTAAGTTTGTCTGCCAACTTTCTGCTCCATTTATATATTCCAAGAATAATTGACCACTCTCCCCCACCCCCCGAAAAAAGTCTGCCATTGCTATTGGAATGAAAGAAGTAGCAGAAAAGGTGGGATTTACAGGGTACATGATGGCCTTTAAAGATCCAGTCACTCTATCTTTCTTTTTGGCCCGTTTACTTTGTGTGTGTTCATGTGGGTGTGTGCATGCTACGTGTGTATGCTGACTGAAATCTTGAGACATTTCTTTGGCTATCAGACTTCTGAGAGAAATTGCTTTGCACAGAAGCATAACACAGATGTAAGTATTGAACCAAATGTGCAGCTTATGTTTGTTTATACTACAAAATTAGTTTTGATCAGCTCTCCATGTACGTGGCCGACAGACTGAGAAAAATCCCACGCTCTGGTGTGGACAGTGAGCACAGTGACAGCTTATGCCATTGTTGACAGCTCATCGAGCAAAGCCCTAGTCGTTCTGGAGTCTCGCCTGCATGTCACTAGGATCTGAGTGGAAGAGACACTGTTCCCACCCTGTGGCCTTCCAGCAGACTGGAGGCCGCGTATGAGGGAGATGGGAGATGGAGGGACAAAGAGAAGTGCAAGCTCCATTTTCTTTTCTCAAACCCACAAGTCATCGTGAGAAGAAAGCAACAAATGCTTTGGCACACAATCCAGGATGCCCCCCTCTCCCAACAACAGCAACAAAAAAGAAAGAAAAGAAAAAAGAAAAAAACCCTGTCCAGACAAAGTAAAAGCAAATAGTGAGCCTCACAGAATGGCTTCAACAATGGCACCCACTCCATAGGTGACAACAGACGGGAAAGATGGGAGAAGTCAGCTTCCCAGGTTTCCAGTAAGTACAAACGTAAAACTTTGTAACACAACTTGACACGCAGAGAAGAGCAGACTGACGATCGCATTGGCAATGACTTTGGTTAATAGGTTTCATAGTGAATCAGCACTTAGAACCTGAAAGAACGCAATCCTTCCTCCAGGTGGCAGGCTTGTATTCGCTTTGAACGGATCAAAGTTTTTGTTGTTGGTATTTCTTGTTTGTGTGTGTGTGTTTTTTCGTTTTTTTTTTTTTTTTTGGTTTAGTTTTGTTTTTCTTTTTCCTTAAAATGTGTTCACATTTTCATACTATACAGAAAAAAGTATGTGGTTATTTGGTTCGCTTTTAGTCCATTAAAAAACTGGCTGTGGGGAGACAGGTGGGGGAGGGAACTAGCCTACCACACACACCTGCAGTGTGATGCATTCCTTGTTTAAAAATTTTCAAAAACAAATTCTTTTCCTTTTTTTTGAAAACCAATGGACATGTATAAACCACTCCGTCCACTTGGGAGGTTTCTTAGTCTTTTACCGATAAGGAGGATGACGAGGGCTATTTTAAATTTTTATTTTTAACTTATTATGCATTTGTTTGTTTGTTTCGTGGTCTATTGGTGGAGTCCCAAGGATGGAGCTTAGTTTCTGCGGAGTTTGCCTCTGATTCTGGTGGGCGTCCCTTTAGGAGTTTTCTTCCAGAGAGTCTGTTAAGGGCTCCAGGGGAACAGCCGTGGCAGGCTCATGCTGTTTTAAGCGTTTAATTGTGTTCTTCAGGGCTTGCCTCTTATTGCAGAACCAAACTCTAACTACCTCCCGGTCATAGTTCAGCTTTTCGGCAATTTCGGTCATTTCCTGCCCGGAGGGGTGTGTGTTCTTCTCAAAGTGGGCATTGAGGATCTCAAGGGCCTGGGGGGTGAAGGAGGTGCGCCGCTTGCGCTTTTTGGATGGTTCACTCCCGATAAACTCGGTCAGGTTCTGCATACCTGCTCGATGGCGGGCCTCAGCCTCAGCCATCCACCGCTCAAGCACCGGCTTGATCTTCTGGGCACTTTTAGGGGTGATGTCCAGCTTTTCAAACCTGGCAGGATACAAAAGGCCAGGGTTCAGTTTGGCTGTCAGACTGCTAGCTATAGTGTTCTCTTGGGCTTCCTGTGGTAGGAAAAAGTGGCTTCTCAGGATGGTGTGTCTGGGGGGAGAATTGAGAAAGAACAGTCTTAAACTGAGTCCTCTGCCAGGGTGGGCCTCCTGCCTGCCTGCCTGACTGACTGGCAGAGCGAATTCACTCCAGATTATCAGCCAGCTGCAAGGTAGCTGTGCCCGCTCAAGCCAGCACCCGCCCTCCCGCATGCCTCATGCCAGTGCATGCAGCCCACACGCGCGGACACAGACCAGGGCAGGGGAGATGGAGACAGCGCAACCCATGAGCCTTCACAATAGAAACAAAACAACTCCTAGATCTTTTTCCTGTAAACTTTCGAGATACAAGCTTTTATTTATTTATTTATTTATAAATATATTTTATTGATTTTTACAGAGAGGAAGGGAGGATAGAGAGTAGAAACATTAATGAGAGAGAAACATCAATCAGCTGCCTCCTGCACACCCCCTAATGGGCATGTGCCCGCAGCTTTTATTTTAATCACACTACACCATTCCCCCAATCTTCAGAATTCTAAGGTAGAAATTAACACCAGAAAGTGACATCAAAGACAACAGCTCTCATATTCTTTCATTGAAAATGACCCTTTTTATGTTTTCCTTAATTCCCCCATTCATTGGTCTATAGAAATATCTCTTATAACAGTTAGTGGTGGCAAATAGGACAAGTTTCTTGTACAGCTCTCTTTTCATCTTTGTGTCTCATTGTAATCTTTCTCTCTCCCCTTTCTCTCACTCTGTCTCTGTCTTCCACCCCAACCCTCTGGTAACAAACAATTTTCACCAGATGTATGTCAACAACATGTTCCCTTTTCAGGTCAGACATGTCCTGTTGCTACTTTACTGCTGGACTCAAATGGCTGGACACACTGTAATTACTATGAACGCCCATCCCCAGATGTGCTCCGGCCACCTTGTGCCTTCCAAACCCTGCCCAGCATCAGTGTACTTTTGCACCAGGGCATCAAGCTGCGTTTAGTGTGTGATATCTGCAACCTGTACTTGAATGATATTATTTTCTGTAAATGAGGGGGGCCTTCTGTACATCAATTGCCATCAGCAATTCTTTGCTACACTGACTAAAAAAAATATGAAGCATCTTGGGTAAAATTATGTAGAGTGCTTTAACATCTCGGTGTAAAAGTTATACTCATTTTCAATGCAATAGAAAAACATACAGTTCCTCTTGTTTGTTTGTTTATTCTAAATTCAAATTCATGACCCTCTGATCTGACAACTTTGGGCGCACAGAATTCTCCTCTCTCTCTTAAAGTTCAGGGCTGTTGAAAAACAGCCGTCTGATGGCGGAGTGCATCTTATGACAATAGTCTGTTTTCATAGAGCCAAAATGAACCTGCTTTCGTCAGGCAGAAATGTTTTGTAAGGAATCTTGCAAAAGGACACAAAAGGATAAGCTTCCTTTATGTGCCATGATCGTATTTTTGGAGCTGCATTTTGGATATCTTACGTTGTGATACATAGAGCAAATAGTATGAAATTTTAATGCAATTCTTCTAGCATTCACGTCCAAGCATAGTTCAAGGAGTTATTTGTTTATTTTATAAAAATAAAATACAACTTCAAGTCCTGGTCAGAGAGGGAGGAAGTACATTTTGCTTTCAATAAAAATGAATTTCATGTCATTTAGTGAGCTCATCCCTTGTGGCAAGCTTCCCCGGCACTCTCATTGTCCTGTTAATTGCCACATCACTCATTTTCCCGTCATTCCCTAGAAAAGTCCTAAAGCTCAAACTCTTCACAGCGCCATGGCACGGGGAGGAAGCCTATGATAGGGGTGTCCAGTCATATTGGTGGTGTTTTTTCCTCTGTGTCTCTAATTAGGAGGAACTTATCAAAACAGCACCTGGGAGTCCCTGCAGCAAAGAAGGGAGAAGTGACACCTGTGTGTGCAGATTTCTTTCACCTTTAAATGAACTCGAATTGTTTCTATGTCAGATTTTGGTTTCTTTTAAGACTTTCTTTCTTTTCTTTCTTTTTTTTTTTTCATGGTAGCGAGCTCATAAAATCATCTCACTGAAATACCAGAAGCTACAGAAAGGCCAAAAAAGTCGAGGCATCGACATATTCTTTTATACAATGAATTCCCAGGTCTCTGATCATTTCAGCCATAGCTTTTTGGCCTCCCCCGGGGAAGACTTTAGACATCAACATATTTGATTGGGAATGCCCAAGAAACACTCCCTATGGCAGTGAAAACATTAGATAGCACTTAAACCTATAGAAGGAAATCAGATTTTAGGGCTAAAAATAAGCCAAAGAGGACCTTAGTAACAATAGCAAATTGGCAACAACTTCAAAACCTGTGGCTGCCTTTATCGCAAGGCTGTCAAGATGAACCAAAATTAATGTTTCCCAACAGGGAGCAGCAGCATTCGTATCACTGATGCTGCTTGTTAGTGTTGATGCTCCTGTACATATTGTTTGGAATAACATATACAAGCCTTGAAACAAATTTCCCAGCAGCAGTCTCCTTGTGTAGACTGAATAAAGGTTATTTTCTACAGGGAGGTATCTTATAAGAAAAAACAGTAGGGGAGGCCATAGAAGTGAGAGGATCCTATGGAGCTTTTTGTATTTAACAACAATCAATGGGTTTTATGGAAAATCATTGAGCAAAATGTAAGCTGCAAGCTACTACCCCATACTGATGTTATTTATAACCTGAGTCTCAAACTGCAGGAAAAGTACACTTCCGTCCTTTGGGGAATACATTAAAAGTATAAAGAGCAGATAAAAAGGCAGCATTTCATGGATCACCAAGAACAAAATCCACTTAAGTGAGTTTAGAGTTGGTTTCTTGGCTGTTCCTGATGGAGGAGGACTCATAAGGCATTGCCCAAGAGGAAAAAGCGCTTCCCGAAGTGCCTTTGTTGCCTCATGCATAAACAGCGGATTAGTGCAACACACACATGCATGCGCGCGGCTGCTTCTGGCGGCTTGACCCAGATCAACTTGAACACAACCAAGGCTGGATTCTGTTCTTTCTTTATTTTAGAATTTTTTTTGGGGGGGGTGTTGGAAAGGGGGTGGGCCAGATTCGGCCAGATTCTCAGGACCCCTTTTTGGAGCCACGTAAAGCAGGTGCTTCTTTTTTAAAAAAATGTGCTTTTAAACTGGTATCTGAGAAGGAGAGGTAAAAGCTCCTTTGAGGCCCCAAGGTGGTTCATTTGCTTTATGGTGAGTTTTCTTGGGAAATCCTGGCAGCCATCCCTTCACAGAAATAGTGGGGGCATGAGCCCCCACCGGGACCGGCAGCTTTCCATTTGCACCGACACCCACCTGCAGCCTGGAGGAGGCTGGGGTAGGGTCTTTCCCAGGAGGCCGCCTTGGAGGTTCTCTGAGTTGACAGGAGTTGCCAAGCCAGGGCCCGCAAGTCTGCGTCAGCACCTTCATTCCCATCGCGACCACCCATTTCAACACGGAGCCGCCCCACACCTTGTTCCCACCCTGGACCCCTCCGGCTTTGCCCACCCGAAGAAGAAAAGCCGAGCTGCAAGGGCAGAGGAGGCCCAGGCCGGCCGGGAGAGGCGAAGCATGCAGGCGCGGGTTACCTGCAGATGGCTGACTGGCTGTACGCGGGGCCCTCTGTGGCACTGAGGGCCTGTCCCACCTGAGTCTGCGTCAGCCCCAGGGACAGGCGCCGGATTTTAAAAGCTTTGGCAAATTCTCGGATCTCCTCCAGATTAACCCCATCCACCTCACCCGCTGCCGTTTGGGGATCTGTAGAGATGTTTTTAAAAACAGGATCAATATGTCAGCATACATCTAGTCACATCTGTTTCTTATGGCTTATGGGAAAACGGTCCTCATTCAAGCAGAGCAGTGGGGAAACCAACATGGCATGATGTTCCCTTGGTCTCCCAGGTGAGGCGCCCAAGCCCCCATCCTCAGCACCTCCACACGTTATCCTTCAAGATATTCCCATTGCAGATAAAACCAAAGGCTGCTCACACCGCCACTTCCACAATACAAGAGCATCTTCCTCAGGGCTTAACAAAGAGCCAGGGCAGGAAGGCACCTGCTACAGGGGAGGCAACATAACGATGTCCAAATATTGTGCAAAAATATAAGATGGGCAAGGTTTCAATTTGAACTGTCTTAATTGGAATCTTGAGTGCTAAAAAGTGCCCTTGGAAGAAAATAGTGTTTTGTATTTTTCCTTCACTCAGTCACCAATGCAGCCAGGCTAATAGATGGCAAAATTGCCTAATTTCTCATGTTCACATGAACCCTTCGAAAGAGCATGCTTATGATGAAGCTGTGAGGATAATACATCCCCCCTCCACCAAGCAGTTTACGGACCCTGCTGCCTTTGTCCCTGGAAAGGGCACATAATAAAAATACCTACGGCGGGCAGGCTCCTTTGGCGCCAGATAACTCGGTCAATTAAGGACTTACCAAGGGAAATGACACAACAGCTGGAGAATGAAACTCCCCTCCCCTGGTGACTGATCCCTGGATAAATGAAAGCACACACCAAGCAGGAGACAGCATGGGCTGGGGATGGTGGAAGATTTCAAAGTGCGGCTGGACCCCGCCTGGAGCGAAGCCATTCTCCCTGCCTGCTGATTCCATTGTTCTCCACCTCATTCCTAGGGCGCAGGTGAAAAGTTTTTCTCGTCCTCTCTCTGCACAATAACCCATCCATTTCAATACCTTTGAGTACTTGTCTAAGGATTGTGGTGGACTATAGTATCCGTCTGGGCTCAGGGCTCTAAACACTCTTATCATGAAAAGAAAGAAATATTTGCATCCCCAAGAGTCCATTTTTCTAGGACTGGGTTAAGTCCCACCCGCACAGTGGCCTGGCGCAGCCTGAAGGGTTAGCTAGGGATTCTGGGAGGTCTCATCCACACACAACAGCCTTGAATCCCTCCTCTAATTTCTTCCTTTAAAAAATTCCTAGAGCAGAGGTTAACAACGAGCAACTTTTCAGCAAATAAAACTCAGCTTTTCTGGTACTTACACATTTGTTTAATTACTTGCCAACATTTAAACATTGGGAAGTTTCTAAAAAAAACCCCACAACCCTCTAGATTTTTCATGTTCTTTTGAAACGTTAGAAGATTTGGCTGCACCAGGGCTACATTTGAACTTGGGAACAAGCAGTTAGCTGGAACAGACTCTGGCTGTCCCCCGCCCCCCCCCAAACCCTTCTCAGACCTGCTGCCTTGCTGAACCCATTTTGCGTTGCCAAGGCGAGATTGGTGCTGGGTGGTGGTGGGGAAGGTGGAAAAGTCTTAGCACAATGGTTCTGGCCCCCAAAAGGCCACAGTATATACACAGAACAGGGGTGCAGTATATCTGTGGTATTAACATTTCATGGGGGAAGGAGGGCAATTAGGATAAAAAAAGTGCAAAAAGACTCCTTATGGGGTTGGGTGTGGGATGCGAGGATTATAGCAGAATAATCGTGGAAGCACTCTGGTTAGAACAGAGAGGGACACTTGTAAGAAATGGCCCAGTGAAGGAGGGGCCCGGCCTCTCTCCAGGGGAGCAGGCAGGGGGGCCTGGCAGACCTTCAAGTGTGGGCAGTGGAGCTTCAAAACCGAGGGTGAGAGAATGGAAGCCAGAGACTGCCCTTGTGACAGTGTGGCTTGTGGGAAGGTGGTGGACTTAATTTGGCAGGTGTGAGAGTCACCTGGGGTCCAGGGATGTGCATTTTTAACATGTACCACAGGGGGTTCTGATGCAACAGATCCCTGGACTGCACAGACAGAGGCCTTCTCTGTGGCTCTGACATGACCAAGTCTGGCCATGGCATCTTCCGCATGTCACTGTCTTTTTTGAATCCTTTTGCCACTTTTATTCACCAGGTTCCACTCCACAGAGAACTTGTTTTGCCACTTGTGTAAGACTGGTGGGGCCAGAAGGGAAGGGCTCCTGGTCAGGCACCCTGTTCTTGCTCTTCCCCATCCCAACCCCCACTGTATACAGCAAGTGGCAAACATCTGGGTGCCAGTGGGCTGGGGTGAGCAGTGTAGTCTGGAGTTGGGGAGAGAGTTTGTTTCTGAGCAAAGCTAAGTAGCCTGTGTGGGAAGTAAAGTTGTGCTTTCTATTAGGCCCATCTTGAGATCAATGGGAATCAGTTGAGTTCACCAGCTGGTGAAAGGTGGGTCTTGAATTTGGAAGGATGTCCCTCATCTGCTCCAGACCCAGGGCCTGCACAGCCACCAGATTAAGCCATGCAGTACCAGGCCGGTTTTTGACTTGGGCTGAATTTTATGTAAATCTATTCAACCTTATTTCTCTCTCTTCCCCTGCTGCTTTTATCGTTTGTCTCCTTACTAGTTCCTGGAGACCAGGAACTAAATGTGTGTGTGTGTGTGTGTGTGTGTGTGTGTGTGTGTGTGTGATTGTGCAGGTTGCTTTTTGCCAGATCACTGACAATAATCAGAGTTGGAAAGGAAGCTATGGACTCTCACCCCTGGTGCATTGAGCAGTGTTGCTATCAAACTTGACTCTAAGGCTCACAGCGGTAGGCACCTGTCTCACTGAGCCCAGTGGCTTCTGTGAGGCCCCACACAGGCATTTATTACACCAGAGACAGAATTCCTTCTCTTCTCTCACACGTTTTCCACTCTTGTCTTTTTCCCGGTTCTACTTAGCATGTAACTGATAAGATAGATTTCCTTGTGAAATTGAAACAGGGAGATGATCTATCGGACAAAGGCCCAGGGAGGAGAAATCAGTCTCACATTGTAAAATTCGTTGGTTGCTGGAGATGAGCTGCCTGGCTCTCTTTATATTAGGGCTCTTATCCATAAAATCAGATGGCAAAATGCCTTATTATGGTTTTGATCCATAGGTCTCAAGACTACAAAAGTCTCACCATGCAAAGAAGGGGCCCACCCTGGAAAGAAGGGGCCCACCCATGAGGCCTTGTAAGTTTACCCTGATTATTCCATGTGTAACTTGTCTTCACACACTGTGAGAGTTCATTAGATGGTGTCTATAAGATGTTTTGAATTAATTAAAAGAGCTGATGCTATCTTTTCTGATTCTGAAGTTTCTGTCTTCAACTCTTGAGGGTTTTTTCCTGCTGTTTGAATAGTTCCTCTTCCTTAAGGAATAAGGGGGTGGGCAAAAGGCAGTTTAGGATTACAAAAATCCAAGAATAAACTCTTGTGTTTTGCATACGCACAACTGTAGATCTACATTTGCCCACCCCCGTATGCTTTTCTGATTGAGCAGGGAAATGAAAAAAAAAAAAAAATGAGGCCTTGTAAGTGGAAGCCCTCCCGGAATGTCACCTCAGCTCTCAAATTAGCTCAGAGGTTGACATTCCACCCTGGGATGTGTCAATCTGGCTTTCTGTCATTCATTCTCCTGGCTCTGGGAGGCTGTACCGGTTTTAAGGATGAATCTGAGGCCGTATTGATGGGACCTCAGAGGGAGCCCTCAGGTCGTGCACAGGCTGGATTCAGCACCTCCAATCAGCTCTAGGACAACCTGGTCTGGGTTTCTCTGCACCTTTTATAGGAAGTGGCACCTTTTGTAGAAGTTTGCTCCAGATGAAGACAGCCCAATATATTAATTACAGGACCAGAGAGACTAGCAATGACCGCCAGGGTCCACCCTGAATCTTTCCCTTGTTAGAGGAGCCAGAAGATCGACCTATATGGGGTCTAACTGACGTGGAGATTTAGAATAAACTGGCATTGAAAATTGGCAGTGACTTGTAATATAGTGATGATGTTTCCCAAACTAATCTGGAATGCACGGGCTGAAAAGTAATAAGATTTTTATGGGTGCTAAATGCAAATGGTGTGAAAACAAACCCGCTCTGTAGAATCTGAGTGTGTGGTCACTTGGCCAATACTGAACTGAGTGCTCAGGACAGATGTGTTGTTTAGTTTTTAAAATCTAACTCCTTCCAACTGTTAGCCTGGGCATCCGTGTAAGAGGTTGTCAAGTGGGCTGTTGAATAATCACCACCTCTCAATATCACCCTTCTATAACCTCTGCTTGTGGGATTCTTATAGAAGAAATATGCATCTTTAAAAAAGCTGCCAAGCATGAATTAACTGCCTTATGTAAACATCCATCTGCTTTTCAGTGCTATTCTCACAGCAAATAATGGACGTATTTACCAAATATTTCTGAGAAATAAAAAACCATTTGGGAACATACAATGCAATTTGGGAGAACAGCTTACTTGCAATATGGTGACTTCACTGGGTTGTGGAAAATGATGTGAATTGTGATTATGTGAACCAGGGGTTCCTCTGTGCCACAAACTGTCGCCATGCATCTTTACATTCACTTTATAGCTTTGGTTTTCCTGGTATTGACTATCAGCCCTTTGTTGTCTATGAATCAAATTTACAGATCAGGGGTTCAAGACAAGTGTACTGAAAAACCAAACCCAGCAAAGAATAAAGAATCCCAAATCTACCTATATTTAAGCAGTACTGTGTAAATCAACCCAATTTGGGACATTTTCCAAGTCAATTGTTTGACTCTTCTAGACTTTCCAAAAGTCCTGCTTATAGAAAGTATATTCACCTCTGATGACTGTAGAGACTGATCAAGGTCTAACGTAAGGCAAGCTGTGTAGCTGCTGTGAACACGTATTGTGCAGATGTCCTAATGAATGTGCATACCTGGTAATCCTGAGCCCAGATGTGGTGTTCTTTGCACATGAAGATCCCGTTATCATTGCTAACACATTGATTCTGCGTTCTTTTGCCTGGAGTGGGGAAGATTTTTGTATGACTTGCCCACTTCAGTTCATCTGGAACAATGATAGGTTGTTGAACCCTTTGAGTATGATATGGGGCGGTCATTAACCAAGGTTCTGACCACAGGATCAACTATGACCTTGCTTTTTGGAGGAATTTGTTGCTCCATTTACCATCTGAACTCAATTTAAGGATTAACTACTATAGCAAGTCCTTCTATTCTATCTCAGCTTCTAAAACTGAGATAACCAGGTACTATATCTTCAGTGTCCCTATACATATGTTGATCATAGCATTCATTTTGCTTTATTCTCTGTATTTTTTGGTAATCAGTTCCCTGGTGCATACACAGTGCTCAATAAATGTGTTTATTTTTCTGTTTAGGTTGACTGACCCTTTGTTTTCCCTGTAATTTAACCTACATAACAACTGCATCTGAAGTATGGGGTTAGGGCTCCCTACATTAGCCTATGTGCAGATTAGGTGAATTTAATCTTGGACAAAAAGAATTTTAATTGCATATTTCATGCTTGATAATATATTTCATAATATGCAAGATGTCTAGTTTTTCTCTTCAGATTGGCTCAGAGAAAAGCTCTTATGTTTTAATTATAAGGCATGGGCCCAGGCTTTTAAAAATATTCAAAGATATTCAGGTGATTTGCTATATTTTGTCATTCAAATTTCACTGGATAAAACTCATGTGTAAGCATTCTATCTTTTATAGCAGCTCTGGTGTATAGAATATATACAATCCATGGACTTAGACGTCTTGGGTTATCATCCTGGCTTTGTCACCCATTATATTGGTCATTCAGGGTGCCAGGGTCTCTCAACTAAGACTGAATCTGGTTCCTCTGACATAAGATGGTCAAAATGGGTTGCACTTTTCAGGTTCCACTTGATGCTAGGTTCAATATCTAAAAAGGAGGACTTACAATACCTTGTGAGTATTAAAATGAGTAAAATATTGAAAGTGCCTTGAAAATCCTACAAATGAAAGCTCAAACAGTAGTTTGAGAAATCACTCCATGTACTATTACTCATCAGAATATACTGCATGTGCTATTCATTCTGTAGTCGGGTTTTGAGACATAAGGGAATTATCTAAGTAACATACTCAAAATATGTAGCAACTGTAAGTCCAGTGATGGCTCTAGCCCATCAGCTTCCCCAACATGCCCCTGGGGGCAGCTCATTGTGCACACACAGCTACCCACCCTCAGGCACGCTCTCTTTTATTTCCTTTGCCACCTACTAATAGAATGGCAGGAGACTTCAAACACACAGAAAAGCATTTTGACCTGTGGGCTCAGTGCCTGCTGTTGGTTATTTCAGTTCTGAGCTATATGGCTCATGCCCTGCAAGCTGATCAGTTCCTCCCTTCTGAGTGGCAGGACTGACTCAGCACATCAGAAAGCACTTGAAATGGAAACCAGTCCCTACAGGTACGTATGGAGGGGGTGTGCTTCGCGGGCCTGCATCCCAAAGGAACCATCTGGCCCATAGCATGGACTCCATACAAATATTGGCTTAGCAGGGCCAGAAATTCCTCTTCGAGGTTGAGCTAATAAAAAAGAGAGAGGAAGGTATAGTACGAGAAAGAGATAGATAGATAGATAGATAGAAGAGAACAGAAGAGAGGAGAGGAGAGGAGAGCATTGCAAACAGGCAACAAGGAGGCCATTATGACTTAACTGAGCCAGAAAGGATACTTACTGCTGACTAACTGGCCCACGCTCAAAGCTGAAGAAGAGGAGGACGAGGAGGAGGAGGAAGAAGCCTGCCGGACAGGGCTTTGAGACATGGATGCTTGGCTGTGAGCCAGGTGCAGAAGATTGCCTTGGGAGGCTGCTTGACCCACTGACGTCTGGGAGGGTTGGTGGAGCTACAGGGGAAGATGTAAGAAACACACAAGTGAATGAAAAATTAGGAGGAAAATGCTAGGGACCAGAAGTTTCATCTGCGGGTGAATCATTTTATTTCCAAGAATATGTACTTCTTAGGAAGAGCGAACATCCTCCTACCCAGCAGGCAGGATTTTTTTGGGTATGTAATATGTTGCTGCTTGCTTGACAGGCATTTTATTAGTAATTCTAAATATATTATTAATTCCCTACTTGGCTCACTGGAGCACCCAATTTTCTACCTTTCTTGAACACCGTGTATAGCTTTCTGCCTGTTCAAACAATTACAGCACATCTGACTGGCTTTGTAAGTACATGTAGATGAACTGTAATGCTTACAATCAACTTGGAATGCAAAACTCAGTTATAAAGGTCTGGCTGTGTCCAGCCAGTTGTCTTAGGTAACTGGTGTTTTTAGGCAATTCCCAATTTAATAAGGCTGACTGAATATGAGAACTTTCTGCTCTCCCAGACCAAGGAGTCTGGGTGTATTACTGTGGAGCCAGGAAAAAGACTCTCTAATATCTGATAGAAAATTAAGAGAGAAATTGGGGCAGTCAGGACAAAAATATCTATAAACATTTGTAGATCTCACTGGTCACTTCCCTACTCTCCGCCAGCACTCCATTTAGGACTCTCATGCACTCTCTCATTTAATTCTCATGTCAGCCTGAAATTTTTTTATTAATCCTCACCTGATGCCTCTCACACTCGTCCTGACCAGGACCAGGGATTGAACCTGCTGCCCTTCAGTGTGCAGGCCGACACTCTAGCCACTGAGAAACACCGGCCAGGGTGTGGGTTATTGATTTGACTGCTTTTTTTTTTTATAAACAAGAAAGCTGAGGCACTGAGAGGTTAGAGGTGTTGTAGGTACACCCAGTAGGTGTGGAGGAGCTGGTCCCTGGATGACCTCTGACCCTGGGCTCAAGCTCTTAGTCACAAGTAAGAATTTACTTCATTTTAAAAATTCTGTGTGACTTAAGGAACTCTATTTTTATGTCCATTTATTCATGACTCCTTCACAGGTTATCAAAGGACTGTTGTTCTGAGAGGTGAGAAGAGCTCCGCTGAGGAGAGGAGGGAGAGAGGAAGGGGAAGTGAGTGTGGGTGCCAGGAACACTTAAGGCCGTGGAAGCATCTCTTTTGATCCGTGTCTTGCCCTCCTAGAAAGCTGACACAGGGGGCAGCCCAGGACCCTGAGCAGGTGCAGGAGAGGCCTCAGCAGGGGCCATCTGCCACCTTTGTTAACTGGACACAGTGCTTTTGGCTTACAAAGTGCTTTCATAGCCATCATCACACTCACAGGGGGGTAGGAAGGGTTTTAGGAAAGGAAGTCAGCCTGTGAGTAGAATCAGGTCAGGCCCTGAACTTTGATGTGTGAGCCACCTTCTCAGGATCTGAGAGCCTGAAATGTTACAATGCCACATTTGCCATTGCTTTCCCAGTGTGTGTGTGTGTGTGTGTGTGTGTGTGTGTGTGTCTGTGTTCATTTCTTTCACTGAACTTTATTGAGATATAATTTACACATAATAAAATACAATCCTTTTCAAGCATACAGTTTGATGAATTTGTCAAAAATATATACCTGTGGAACCACCATCATAAGCAAGATATAGAACCTCCCCATTATTCCACAAAATTCCCTAATTCCCTTTGCAATCAGTTTTCCCTCAACTCCCAGCCCCAGACAACCACTGCTCTGCTTTCTGCCTGTGCACTTGTTTGACATGAATCTGGAAGTGGAGTAATTCAGGATGTACTTTTCTTTGTACCTGGCTTCTTTTGCTCGGATACTATTTTTGAGATCCATCCATTTTGTCGCATATATCAGTAGCTCATTCCTTTTTTATTGCTGAATGGTATATATAGTATATATCTATATCTAAATCTATGATATAAATTGTTTACCCCATTCATCAGTCGAGGCACATTTGGGTTATTTCTAGTTTGGAGCTTTCATGAATGAAGCTGTTATAAACAAGCCTTTGTGTGTCCTGTGTTTTCACTTCTCTTACGTAAACACCTAGGAGTGGAATTGTGGTGATCACTGGATCATACTGTAAATGCATATTTAACTTTTAAAAAACTACCAAGCCAATATCCAAAGTGATTGTAGCATTTTATATTCTCACCAGCAATGTATGAAAATTCTAGTTGCTTCACATCATTGCCAACACTTGGAAATATCAGTTTTTTAAACCACCAATTAACATTTTGCCTTCAGACAGTTGTTAGTAAGGTGCTACTTTGGAAATGTGTTTAAGAAGCTATTCCTTTTGGGGTTCCCCATGATAATGCTTTTGCTCCCTGGAATCACACCATATTCCTGTGCGGCAGATGTGCCTGGCATGATTATGAGACTTAACCGACTGGTCTAAGACCATGTGGTCTGCTGAATGTTAGAATCTAGATTCCTATTGTAGTTCAGGGCTCCATGATGCCACCCTGTCCCCTACAGAATTGCCAGCAGTTACATTTCAAGTGAACATCCTTATCGTTACAAGACTGTGCTAAGTGGAGGCTACGTTGTAGACTAAAGATAGTTATAATCATCATGGAATCCAAATTAATATGCATCAAGCATCTGCCTAAAGTAATTAGCCAATCTGCTGAGCATATAATCAACAATTATATCCAGCAAATTTTGTTCTAGGGACACACATTAAAGATTAAATCTATTTTAATTTGTTCAATAAAATGTGATGGATGTTTGCATGTCAGTCTTGCCCCTCTAACCTACTGAGTTGTCCTTCTAAATATTGTTATGAGACAAAAGCTTTTTACAGTTTTGAGTTTCTGAATCATGAGATAGTCTTCAGTGTTACCGCTTCATCAATATTTTATTGGACTTGGGTGTGGTAAAGTACCATCAAGGAACTAGATAAGACAATAATCAATTTAAATTTTCTTCCTCAGAACAACTCAGTAAAGAAAAAATGACAAGGCTGCAGTCTCACTTAGAAGTCACTAAAGCAAGCGAGGGTTTATGCATTTAGCTATGCAGGAGGAAGAATTTGAAAGGAAAATAAAATAGTTCTTTCAAGAGCTTGTTCTATGTCTACATAGTCAAAGAGAAAGACGAATCTAAGATATCCAAAAATATAAGGAAGATATATTTCTTCCAAAGGAAATAAATCTATTTGTAAGGACTCTGGGGGTCCTGCTTACCTTCTAGAGTTCAACCAGGCAGTTCAGAAAAACCAATAAAAATTAGAAAAATTTCTTACTTGTCAAGAATCAAGATTATAAAAGCAGTATCATCCTAATGGAGCCCATCTATCTTCTTCCAATTGCCAGGATAGACACGTATTTGTTAATTCCAAAATCACTTGTGAGCCCAGATAGACTAGCTTATTGTGCATATCAAAACCATCTCAGAGATTGACTTCTCTTTCATTACTTCTCCCCTAAAAAAAAAGAGGATATTAGAGGTAACATTTCTGTTACCTCCCATGCCTAAAGCTGCAATTCTTTCAGGTAAACTCTATAAATAGTCCGATCTTTGATATGCTTGGTGTAAATATTTTAGTGCATTAATCTTTAGAAAGAAATATTTCTGAAGATTAATGCACTAAAATACTTATATTGAATCACAGAGTTTTTTTTCCCATCAAGTAGCTTAAAACTGAGATTGAAGCTACTTCATGAACTATCAACGCTGGGATTCAATATAAGCATTTAATATAATTTAAATAAGCAGCATTAGAAAAATGTTATTTTATTAGATTTAATTATGTTCGGTTTTCAGACACTGACACTGTGAAAATCATATGTATTTGTATGGATGATTATTGGCAAAAGAAATAGGTGTATAAATACCTAAAACATAACTGGCCACAAAAATTGAAATAGATTACCAAAAGAAAATGCAGGAGTGAGGGAATTACTAGAAGCACAAAAGTTCCTTCTCTTTCTTGGAGGGAAAGGGAAACTTAGCTTCTATAAAGGCAGATGTTTCATTCTATTGCCTTCCTCTTGAGAGGCACCTCTATGGACACTATTTATTAGATGCTTCCCATGTGCTTTTATATACATTATTTTTTCAACCCGGGTATGTACCCTGACCGGGAATCGAACCATGACCTCCTGGTTCATAGGTTGACACTCAACCAGTGAACCACGTCAGCCAGGCTATATACATTATTTTTAAATCTTGGACCAGCTCTCTTTTATAGGCACTGATAACCACCACAGAAGAGGAAACTGACTTTAAAAGATTACATGGCTTACCTAGTATAAGTACTACACAGCTGGAATAAGTGAGCTTTGAATGTAGGTAAGCCTGATTCCAGAGCCAGCACTCCTTCCACCAGGAGCTTCTCAACTCCTGGTGACCACTGGAGGTGAGTGGTTGTGAGTCAGAGAAACAGCAGGAAGCCTTAGTTGAGAGGCGTGGGAACAAATGAGATGTGTTCTAGCTGAGCATGGCGACCTGCACTTTAGAGTTGATAGCACTTGTGTAGATCATGATCGACCCGTCTGAACACATTTCATCTGTGTGTTGAAATGTGAAAATATAAATATTTTTCTAGTTTAGGATTATTTTCTGCAGGTTCCAAAGTATATAAAATATCGTATTTTAAACAAGATACTTTTAGGTGGCTAGAATGTTATCTAAAAATGTAATGATTTTGGTGTAGTCTATGACGCTATAGGAGTTGTCTATAGATTGTCCTTTGCCTAGTAAAATTAATCCTGGTTACCGGTTGTACCCCAAACTTACTTTTCTCTTTCCTGTTTATATGGTCATATTTTCTATTTTTTTACGATAGCTTTACTAGACTGCCTAAAGGAGCTGGAGTTTACCTCTGAGTTCCAATAATCACTTTCCTGCCTTTTTTTTGAGCTGTAAGTCAGATGTAAATAGGCTGTTAGCTGAATTATGTCCGACCCTAAATTCATATATGTTGAAGTCCTAACCCCCAGTACTTCAGAATGGGGCTATATTTGGAGATAGGGTCTTCAAAGAGATAATTAA